TGCAGACCAGGGGGAGGGGGGGGGCAAAGCAGAGCCAAGCCTCGGAGCGCGTGGGCAGCGGACAGCCCTGTCCGCTGCCCACGTGTTCCGCCACTTTGCTTCCTCTCCCTGATCTGCTGGAGACCAGGGAGAGGAACGGCCCCATTCGTAACTGCGGATCCGACATAAGTCGGATCCACGTAACTCGGGGACTGCCTGTACATATAGCCTTATTAACCTCTCGTCATACAGTAGCCGTTCCATACCCCTCATCATTTGTGTTGCTCTTTTCTGAACTTTTTCCAATGCCAAGATATCTTTTCTGAGATGAGGTGACCACATCTGCACGCAGTATTCAAGATGAGGGCATACCACAGATTTATATTAAGGCAATAAGATATTCTCTGTCTTGTTCTCTATCCCTTTCTGAATGATTCCTGAAATGTTGTTTGCTTTTTTTTTTTTTTTACAGATATTGCATGCCAAGTGGATGTTTTCAGTGAACTATCCACAATAACCCCAAGATCTCTCTCTTGCATGGTCACAGCTAATTTAGTACCCAGCATTTTATATGTATAGTTGAAATTATGTTTTCCAAAATGCATTAATCAACATTTTGTTGCCTACTGACCTAGTTTTATGAGATCCTTTTGAAGCTCTTCACAGTTTGCTTTGGACTTAATTATCTTGAGCAGTTTTATACCATGTGAAATTTTGCCACTTCACTTTTTAATTTTGCTATCTCTCTGTTTATCATTTAATATATCAAAAAGGACAGATTTTTGGTATTACAATTTTAAACAATTAAGCACGATTTAGTAGTGTTTGGCAACTAGAAGTTTCAAGATTCCTGGATTTTATTCCAAGCTCTTATATCTTTTAGAGCATTGACTAAGTCACCTAAGCTATCTGCCTCAGTTTACTCAACTGCAAAATGAAATTACACTTAAAAGAGTAGTTACAGGGATTGTTTTTAAAAGTACTTTTAGAATGATTACAAGTATGTGCAGAACTTTTCTTTTAAACCATTAACGTCCCAGAAAAACAAGAGGTTGAGTGAAAAGAACTAGAAAGTATTCCACATTTTGTTTCCTGTAATGACTGCTTCCCTTTTGTGATTTCCATCAGGTTCTGATTTAATTGTAAACTACTAAACATGTAGTTGGAGGTTATATGACCTTCTTAACCTCACGATCTGCCCTTCTTGTGGAAAAATGTTGATTAAATGGAATACCTTGTTGGCTGGTGTAAGTGCAACTGCTGCTTCAGCTGTGTGGGACATTATTGCCTTGGAATCTTGAAATGCAGGCATCCAATTTTACCACGTTATTTTTTACAGTTTTCAGTTTTATGGCCAACAACCCCTTCAGTGAGAGGTTTCTTTCTATAACACCACAAACAACTGTTTGGTTTCCCAATCCAAAATTATGGGGTTTCCTTAACGTTTAACACAAACATGACATGATTACTCATTATCTATGAGGTACTAAGGAAATGTGCTTGCATATGTGTAGTCACTTTTACAACATACTTAAATCTATATACAAATACGAACTCTCATTTAATCTCTTAGCAAGTTTTTAACAGTACTGTGTTATAAAATTTCAGTGATCCAAGTAGAAAGTCAGCATCCAATATATATATGGTGATCCAAAGTTTACCTGTTTGCTTTCATGAAAGTCTTGTTTGGAATGTACATGGACTCCTGAAACAGACCCTGCTAACAGAGTGCTGAACAGAACTCTTTTTGAAGCTCGTCAAGATTGACAGAATGATATGTTGATGAATCAGTTTGATTTCTATAAAGCCAAAAACTGTATTGTAGCTCTTTATGTAGTGTACGGTCAGAAAAAGAACGGAGATTTAACACAGTCCTACAAAGTAAAAACAGAAATAATTATTCCAATGGGGAAAAAACAACAAAGGGGACATTTTAAAGAAATTTAAAAATATTTCAATTCAAGAGAAACTCTTTTAAAACTAAACATATGGTCTGCTTTTAAGAGGTTTTATGCACATACAATTATCACTCCTAGAGCCTCTGAAAATAAAGATGTGGGTATATAAGATCCACAGAAAAATCAGTTGGGAGCCCCACACAAGTGAGAAGCAATGTGAGAAGGCCCTGACTGAGAAGGAAAAAAACACTCCTCACATTCCTCTCATACACCAGTGCCTAGGGGGCCGGCCCCAGGCTAGTAGATTTTGTGCACTCCAGCCCTGTGAGTGGGTGGCAGGAAGGCTGGATCACCAGCACAGACTCTCCAATACAGGGGGCTCTATAAGCCTTGCGGGCTGGATCCAGGCAAGCCGGGGGCCACATGCAGCCCCCAGGCCTGAAGTTCCCCACCCTTGTTCTATAACCTTCCATTGACACAGGATTTGGGAATTGTGATGGGGCATCTGCCCCATACTGTCTCTTTAAGGGTAAAATGCAACCCTTAGAGAGGGTTGAGAGAGCAAACCCCCTACAGCTGAGGCAGGTACTAGCTAATTAGGGCTCAGCTGAGGGGAGTATAAATAAAGTCTCCTGTAGGGTAAGAGACTCAGACTCACTTGTGTTCTAGCTAGGGAGTAGGAGAGACCTAGCTGCCCCTGAGGTGAAGACTGGCAATAGGGCAGAGGAGGTTGGTGATTCCCAGAGGGGGAGGACCCCAGAGTTTGGGGATGCTGTGATAGGACAGTACCCAGAGGTGGAGAACAAAACAGGTACCCATGGGTGAGACACTGGCTGAAAGAGGGTGCCCCAGGACTGAAGGACCTAAATCCTGAGTGAGCAGCAGGAGATGCCTGTGGTGGTGAGTCATGCCTGGTTACAGGAACATGTACACTTCATAAATTACTAATGTTCTGTTACAATAGTACATTAGGCATTTGACAACACATTTCTTCTGCTGCTTACCTTCTCAAAATATAATGTTTAGGACTAGGATGTCATTGTGGAGATGACCATTCTTATCCTAGGCTTATCAGTTAATCTGGTCAATTACATGTTTAAAAGCAGTTCTTCTCCTCTTTCTTCCCCGCCCCTGCTCTGTGGTGCTGCCTGCAAGCCTCTGTCCTCCTCCCCATGCTGCTGCCTCTATCAGCAGCTGATACAGAGGCAGCAGAGAGAGCAAGGGAGGCTGATGCAAAGCAGCCTCTGTCTGCTGGGGGAGTCTGAGGTCCATGCAAAGACTGCTCTGCATCCAACAACAGCCTCTGTCTGCAAGGAACTGGGACCCCCCCACACACAGACAGGGGCTGCTACCACCCCATGCTGCTGCCTCTGAATCACAGGCAGAAGCACAGGGTGGTAGGCAGCTGGTCTGCTTAAGGGGCTGGTTTTAAAACTGGCTTCCCTCATGGACAGGCTCCTATCTGCCATCCTGTACTGCTGTCTCTATCACAGGAAGCAGTACAGGGTGGCAGGGGGCTGACTAAGAGTGCACTGGCTGCTAGCCCTGCTCCTGGGACCTATCAAATAGTCACATAAGAACTAAGTTTTCATGTGGCTTCATGACTACTCAATTACACTATATTTAACATTCCTATTTAGCACCTTGATTTGATTGTTCAGAAGAGTGTTTTGGCCATTTTTCCCTATATTCCCCTTAATACATCTAATCAGGATAAATTGATTCAGAAGCATTGAAGCAGTATAGCCACTATTTGCCATATTGCCAAAGTTGGGACTTGTAATGGAGCTTCATTAGCAGAAACAAGAGGAGGCTGGTAGCTATGGCATTATTTGTGAGGGATTTTGTCCCTACTAGTCTGAAAATATCCTGACAATCTTCAGGGCATGCTGTATTTGTTTTCCCAAACTTTTGAAAAGTAAAAGGAATTGTATGGATGAGAAATGGGGAAGTGGATTTTGGTTTTTAACTTACCAGTAGTGGGCTATATGTAGAAACCTACCAAACTGACAATATATTTAGGTCAATTTCATGGACAAAGGATTTTTAAAATAGTCAATTTCACAGTTACAGCTATTTTATGTATGAAATTTCAGAGTGTTGTCACCATAAGCATCCAGACACAAGTGCATCTTGGAAGAGGTCACAAGGCTATCATAGGGGGTTCATGGAACTGCCAGCCTTACTTCTGAGCTGCTGCTGGCAGGGGTACTGCTTTCAGAGTTGCGCAGCCAGAGAGCAGTGGCTGATGGACAGGTGCTTAGCTCTAAAGCTAGTGTCACTGACTGCAGCAGTGTGGAAGTGAGGGTTGGGAGGTATGGGTTACCATATGTCTGGGTTTTTTCCCCAGACACTTCCTGTACTGGCAGGGGGCAGACAACTGATTGGGTAGACTCCCTGCTCAAGGGGTGACAGCTTGAGCCAAAGTCTCCAATCCAAGTCAGGAGCTGACAGCTAGAGCTGCGCCTTTCTGGACTGGGGGAGGGTGTGATGATAGCCCTGGATGGAGAGGAGGTGATGACAACTGGAGTCAAAGCCTCTCTGTGGGGAAAGGGTGGTGACAGTTGGAGTGACAGCCTACCACCTGGGCGGGGGGCAGATAGCCACCCTCACTTCTGTGCTGCCTTCTAAGCTGAGCTCCCAGTTAGCAGCTGTCAGGGCTATTCCCCACTCTGGCATGCTGAATGCAGAAGATGGAGGCCCACAAGGGACCTTAAATACCTTGACTCTACAGGCTCTGCTTACAAAAACTCCCCAGTGTCACAGATTTACTGACTTTTGGGGTAGCTGCCTCCAAGTGATTTAATACTTGAATTCCGTCCCTGGGGGTACCCCAAGACAACTTGAAGAAAGAAGCAAAAAGCACAAGACAACTTGAAGAAAGAAGCAAAAAGCACAAACACACTATCTCCTATGTCTACCTAGCCTTGGAAGTCAGCTGCACACAGGCCTCCTGTTACCTTCCAGGACACAAGAATCAAACTATTGCCTTCAAGATGATTTTAACAACCAAACAAAAAGATATACTTGGTTGCTAGGTGTTACAGAATTTCTAAGAAAAGAACAGATCAAAGACACAAAGTATCCTAGTTCTTTGGGCTGTAACTTAAATGGTGAGTGGGGGAAAGAAGGCATAAACTCCATATACAGAGTTTAACCAAAATAAAGAGAAAAATACACATTTTTCCTTTACTCATGATCCAGGGTGATCTGTACTTCAAGGCCCAGTTCACTACCATGTCCAATATTTATCGGAATGGTAATTCTGATTACTGCATCTGCTTCCTCCAGCCCTTACCTTGCTCTTTTTGTGGGAAGATTCTAAGTTATCTAAATACAACTCAAATTTCAGCACTATATCCCCATTGGTTCTTTTGGCCCCCTGCCAAAACTCTTGCTAGCCACCTGAGTTTAACCCCTTAGGTCAAAGGGTGCTGGTCAGCACTCTTCCTATCCATCACAGCAGCCATGGAGCTTCCTACAGCTGGAAGAGGTTCCCAGAGGTGGATTAAACCTAGCTCCAAAAGTAGCCGATGCAGGGGAAGAGAAAGTCCTATCCTTCCCCAGACCAGGACTAATAATTGAAGCCAGGCAAACAATAGAATGTGGGGCACCTCTAGTCCTGCCCTACAATATGCAGATTTTGCAGTCAAGTCAGAGTTCATGGTCCATGATGAGTATTTCATGGTTATGAATATGGAAGGACCATTGTTATCTTTAATTGCATTGCTGGACTTAAGATGCATTTTTAAATAGTCAAGAAGATCTATGAAAAAGAGGTGCCTCTTATATCTTTTCTGTATATGGAAACAAACAAGAGAATGGGGTTATTTTATTAAAATTCTGCTTTAAAGGAGGAGTTAGTATTGGATACATGTTACCAAACAGCTAAATCTTGCAATTACTTTAAATACTTAACGTTACTGCAGCTGTGGTGATGAATGTTACCATAACAACACAACTGCAGTGATGTCCATGATGACACAGAAGACTGTTTCTATGGTAATGGAATGTCTTCGTTTCAAGGATGCATAAAAACCCATCCCAAAAAATGGGAACTGACACTAGATTGGAAAATTTCTTCCTTGTAATGCCCCATCTGTCTGTCTTACACTGAGATGGCAAACACTTTGGGGAAGGGACCTTCTTTTTGTTCAGTGTGTATATAGCCCCTAGCATAATGGGGTCCTGGTGCATGATCAGGGCTGCTAAGGAGCCCTAGCAATACAGATAAATAATCATAATCAATATATATAGGACTGACTGTTCACAACAAATACAGCGGCTGGATAATGTTCCTAATTATGTATGTGCAAGTTCAGATATTTACTGGTCTAAATAAGACTCTAATCAGGCATAATATGATTCTGATCTCAAACTTTTACCCCCAGTGAAATTCTGCTTGCTACAAAGGAATTATTTCAGTAGTGTGAAATCAGAATGAGGTAGCTGTTCTAGTTTATCCAAAGGATAATCTGTATCTTGTAAAGTAGACATAAGAAATTCTAAAGGCAGACACTAGACTTAGGGATGTCATCTTGTAGACAATTACACAATTAACTGATAAGCCTGGGTTTATCGGTAAATCTTGTTGACTAAATGCACTCTCCCTGCTCCCTGCTGCCTCTGATACAGAGTGGGAGCTAGTGCCCATGAGGAGATGGCTTAAAAGCCAGCTCCCCACCCCAGCGCAGAGATGAAATTAAATAAGGACAAATGCAAAGTACTACGTGATGGAACAAATAATCAACTGCATAAATATAAAATGGGAAACTGCCTAGGAAGGAGTATGGGGGGGAAAGGCTCTGGGGATTATAGCGGATCACAAATTAAATATGAGTAAAAAAATTAAACACTTTTGCCAAAAAAAAAAAAGAAAAAAGTATTCCCTGATGCATGAGCAGGAGTGATGCAAGCAAAACACAAGAAGTCACTTTTCCACTCTACTCAGCACTGATTATACTCCAGTTGAGGACTTAGTGCAGTGCTGGGCAGCACACTTTAGAAAAGATTTGGATAAACTGGAGAAAGTTTAGAGGAAAGCAATAAAAATAATTAAGTCTAGAAAGAAACTCACATTTTCATAGTTCTTAAACCACTGCAATATTAGGTAGTGTGACTAGTGATTCATCTCAGTTTGAACAGTACAATGCTGAATTCAAAATCTACTTATCTGTAACTGGTCTTTATTCTGACAGCTACATTATAGGGTGTCCAGTGATTAAATCACAATTAATTGTGCAGTTAATAGCACTGTTAAACAATAACAGAATAACATTTATTTAAATATTTTGTATGTTTCCTATGTGTTCAAATATTTGTTAACACAGAATACAAAGCATGCAATGCTCACTATATATTTTATTAAATATAAACAAAAGAAACAATGTTTTCAATACATCTAATACAAGTACTGTACTACACTATCATGAAAGCTGAACTTACAAATGTAGACTTATGTACAAAAAACTGCATTCAAAAATAAAACAATTTTAGAGCCTAGAAGTATAGCCCTGAGTGGATACAAAATTTGTATCTGCAGCCACATCCATATCTGCAAAAAGAGCTGCAACTATCCGCACACACTTCCACAGATGCAGATACCTGTGGATGTAGACGGGATAACTGCAGATTTGCAGGCCTCTCTACCTACAAGTCCACTCAGTTCTACTACTTGTTCAGTCAACTGCTCAGACAAATAAGTTTGTTTACATTTGCAGGAAATAATGCTGCCCACTTGTCTACGTCAACTGAAAGTGAGAACAGATTCATATGGCACTACTGTAGCTAGAATCACAAGAAATTTACGTGCCAGATTCACTAAATATTCATCTGTCCCTTCATGTTTCAACCACTACTCCAGAGCACATCTCCATACTGATGATGGGTTCTGTTTGATAACTATCCAAAGCACAGCAGATCGATGCATGTTCATTTTCATCATATGAGTCAGATGCCATCAGCAGAATTTTAGCGACACTCTGATGCTACTTCTGAAAGCATGATCCACACCTCATCCCTCTTAGATTTTGGACTGTACTTCAGATTCTTTAACCTTGGGTCGAGTGCAGTAGCTATTTTTTATAAATCTCTTTACTTTCTTTGCACTTTGTCAAATCAGCTGTGAAACTGTTCTTAAAATGAATGTTTCTGGGTCATCTGAGAATTCTAGAACATGAAATATGTCTCGTGTTTTACACATTCCACTATATAATTCTCCTACACATTTCAGTCACAAATCTAATAAACACTTTTTTTTAAACAAGCATCCATCAGCATAGAAGCATGTCCTCTGGAATGGTGGCCAGAGAATGAAGAAGCATAAGAACATTCAGTACATCTGGCATACATATTCCAATGCCAGCTACAAAAGAACCATGCAAACACCTGTTTTCACATTCAGGTGATATTGTAAATAAGAAGGTATCAGTATCTCCCATAAATGTAAACAAACTTCTTTGTCTTAGCAACTGGTTGAACAAGAAATAGAAGAGGACTTGTAGGTTCTAAAGTTTTACACTTTAAGTGCAGTTATGTAACCAAAAAAGCAACAGTCATTAAGTTATACTTTCACAACTCAGATTGCACTAAAACTTGTATATTTCTTTATCATTTTACATCACAAATATTTGAAATACATTTTGTATTCTGTGCTGTAATTGAAATCTATGTATTATAAAGCTTTGCCGGGATATAAAATCTGCATGTGTATTGGCAAAAATTAACCACAAATATCCACACAATTCTTTGAGAACTTGAATTAACGGTGTTTAGTCAACAGTCTTACTAAATAGATATGAATCATCAACTGGGTGACTTATAAGGATGTTAACGTTTATTTTTTTTAAACATGTAACTGCTGAATTTTTTTTCCCAGTTACACATTTACATGCAGAGGGGCAGGTGGCTCCATGGGAGCTGGTACACGCAGGGACTGGCTTCCCATGTATACTGGCTCCTACCCAGGTTATGCAAAAGAAATAACCAGTGTCTTTCTAATTTAAAGTAGGGATGTTAAAAAGCAGGTAATTGGGTAACTGTTTAACTGCTGAAAATTTCAGCCATTACACACACCTGCAGCCAGCTCAGGAGCCCACTGCAGGCACGTACTGACTCCCGCCTCCCACCCCACTCCTGGGGAGCTAGCTGTTGCCCCACACTACTGCCTCTGATACAGCTGGCTCCCGCCCTGCTCCCTGGGAGCTGGCTGCTGCCCCATGCTGTGGGCTCCCCAGGAGCCCGTGTGTAACTGTTCCTGGTAACCAATAAGCCCAGGCTTATCAGTTAATCATGTAAACAGATACACACTAACATCCCTAGTGACTTGTCAAGCAACTTATCATACATTACATATAAAAGCTTTCTTTCTGGAAGTGCAGGGCTACTAAGCACGCAGTCCATTTGTTTGTGGCCCACGGTGAAGCTTGGGTTTATGTGGGACTCAACACGCGACCTGCGAGTGGGAGCCCTTGAAAATGGCCTCCACTGGGAACACGCTCCTCAATGGCAAGGCTTCTCCCAGGTGGGGTGAGCATTGAAATACACAAGTGGATGGGTTGGCTGGAACAGATGGGTACAGTGTCAACATTTCTAGCCCCCAAGGAGAAGAGACTGGGAATGCTGGGACACTGTGGGAAGTGCTTTGCATTCATGCTCATCAGTCTGAAACAAGTTATTTGTGTATATTTGCATTTATATGCAACCACACTTAAGTTGCAGCCCTTGGCATGTGCTGTGAGTATCACTGTGGTCCCTGGGGCTTCCAAAGTTGAGTAGTCCTGTTCCAGTGTGATCAATTAAATTGGTACAATTCTGTCAACTGTATGAGCTTAATTATCCCATCTGCTTTTGTATCCGAAAAACATGTTGTACACTATGAAAGGAAAATGAAATAGATGACAGATTATGAAACAATTATGACAGAATAGGTGAAAATACCCCACAAAATACAAACTATTAGTAGCTGTAATTGTAATGTTCCAAATTTGGGGAGAGAATGTCAGTTGCAGGTGAGATGCAGAGAAGAGTAGCAGGTAGAGATGCCATTCATTCAGTCAGAATGAAAAAGTGGCTGAAATTGTAAGTATGCAGACATCTTCAGTGAGGAGTGAACACAAAAACCAGACTAAAGTACCTCAATTATGAAACCAATCACCACCAGTTCTCCTAAAGTCAGTGACTCATCAGTATGCTTGTAATCATTAAACAGGGCCTATGTCTATCTTATTGTACTTACAAAGGCCATACAATTTACCTTACAATTAATTAGTTGAAATTTTAACACTTTTACTTTTCTAATGCAAACAAATTATTTAAATCTAGCCCCAAAACAATAAAAATTAAATACCAACAAAAACATTTGAACTGTGGGAAGGACTTTCAAGTGTCAATTTTGAACTAGGATTGTAAGAACTCTTAATTCATCCTTCTCCCTCTTTCCATCCAGCTCTTTCCTATTAAACATTGGAAAAACATGTTTAGCACCCCACCTTGTAATCTCAAGCCACTGTTATCAAACTAATATATTTATAATATATTTATCAAACTAATATAGCAAACTAATATATGTTTTCAGGTAAAACTATTTTACAAACCCTACAGAAGTCATTCACTCAACATACAAAACAACTCCCTTTGGGGTTTAATGTGACCATTCCAGATGGATTCAGTAATTTAGGCCAAGAAGTGAAGACTTTAGGTTGGTGCATGTAATTAGCTAAGATGAAATCAGATCAGGAAATTAGTGCTGACTCTGCAACTCTTATTAAAGATCCCATGCAGTTTTCCTATAATCTGGAACTCTGATTTTTAGTCTCACACTGAGGATGGGCCCAAAGACATGGGTGACAGGTGCCTGTGGAAGCAGGGGGAGCAGGAGGGCCATCCAGAGTAACAGGGAGGGCACATACAGGGACAAGCTATATTATCAATTACAATATTGATGGGGGCAAAGAGGGGCAGTGTACCAGCTCCGTGCTGCCACAAGTCACCTCTGGACATCATGCCCAGCCAGAATGATGCCATGTCTAGCCCAAGAGAAATATGCCCGCCAAAAACCCCAGAGTTAGCGTCGCCACAGCTGGCAACAGGCTATCTCTCCATAGAGCGAGCCTCATTTGGTCCAGGACACCATAGTCCCGCACTAACGGCAGATCCTTCCTAGCCAGCACCAGATCCACCCTCACCCCGTTACACCACTGAAAGAGCCACGGTCTGTAGACGGGGTAATTCCGGGCTGCCTGTCATTCTGCGCTCCCTGACACGCACCCTACTCCCGCACTGACGTGCATCCTCCGGCTGCTGTGCAATGAGGAGGCGTCGCCGCAACGCGCCTCACCTGGCGAACTTAACATGGCGTCACAAGGACCTCAACAGGGACGCACGAGATGGCCAGTTCCCCCCAGCAGCCAAGGCCCTTCGGGAAGGCGGAGTAGGAACGCGCCTCGTTGGCGGGCAGTCCCAAGATGGCGGCGGGACGCTTAGCTCGTGCGCAGAACGCAGCGAAAACAAGGAGGGGTTTGCGGCGCGCAGGCGCAGCGCGCCACCCGGGCGCTTGGTGGCCCCCACTCTCCCTCCCCCCGCCTTTTTGCCCCCCCCACCCGCGACTCGTGAGTTTCGTCCACGTGTGCTGTTTCCTGTGGGCCTTGTTCTCGCTCTCTCAGAACGTGGGCATGCCCCACTCCCTCCGCAGGGAGAGCGAGAACACCTACGGCGGCCGCTGGAAATACCTGACCTTCATCAACCAGGTGTGGGCCGGCCTGAGTGGGCGGAGGAGGGGGTCCCTAGGGAGCTTGAAAAACTAGTGTCTGGAGGGAGGAGACCGGCAGGGGGCCTAGGAGGAAGCTCTGACTGGGGCAATACGTGTGCCAAATGGGTTGGGGGGGGCAAAAAGGGAGGGCTGGCAGGCAAGGGAGGAGGTATGGGAATGAAGAGGGCTCAAGAGCTTGAAGGGGACAGGTGTGGGTTGAAGCTAGGGCTCAAGAGGGAGGAATGGCTTGTGGGGAGAAGTACTTGTCCATCAAAAAGTTTGATGGCTTCAGGGGACAGGTGTGAGTTGAAAGTGGATGGAAGGGCTGTCCTGAGAAGAGGAATGAGCCATGTTGAGGGAATCTGGCCTATCATCACTTGATCCATGTCTCCTTTACTTGAATAACATAAAATTTAAATGAATTTTGAAAATTAAAAACAATAACGACATGACAATATATCCATCCCTTCTCTTGTGCATCTCTTTTTCAGAGTATTTTACAATCGTACAATAAACAGTAATTTGAGGATATTCTCATCTAACTCCTAGAGAATTCAGGGAATTTTTCTCTTTTTTATTTTTTTTTATTTTAGTGCTTGGCTGTTGGCTTTATTATAAATACAATAATTTTGTTGAATAGTGATAAAAATGTAGCCGTGTTAGTCTGGTGTAGCTTTTCGTGGGAAGTGGGTCTGGCCCACGAAAGCTCATCACCTAATAAACCATCCTGTTAGTCTTTAAAGTGCTACATAGTCCTGTTTTTTGTTTCAATCATTTTGTCCTATTTCTTATACTGGTAAGATCTCATTATGGTAGCTAGGATGCCATTTAGGTATGGCAGCGAGCATTTTAGCTGTCCTCTTACCCCTCTATTTCATGCTGGAAGTCTGCTTTTCAAAGCACGTGCCCTAGCCCCTCAAAGAGATCTTAATTACATAAGAACATCCATAGTGGGTCAGACCAAAGGTCAGTCTAGCACAGTATCCTGTCTTCCAACAGTGGCCAATGCCAGATACCTCAGAGTGAAAGATCAGAGCAGGTGATCATCAAGTGATCCATCCCCCGTTGCCCATTCCCACCTTCTGACAAACAGAGACTAGGGACTCCATTCCTACCCATCTTGGCTAATAAGTATCGATGAACCTAACCTCTGTGAATGTATCCAGTTCTTTCTTGAATCCTGTTAAAAGTCCTGGTCTTCACAACATCCTCTAGCAAAGAGTTCCACAGATTGACTGTGTGCTGTGTGAAGAAAAACTTCCTTTTGTTTGTTTTAAACCTGCTACCTATTAATTTCATTTGATGACCCCTTAGTTTTTATGTTATAAAAACAAATAACTTTTCCTTATTCACGTTCTCCATACCTGTCATGATTGAATAGATTTCTATATCATATCCCCCCCTTAGTCTCTGCATTTCTAAGATGAAAAGTCCCAGTCTTTTTAATCTCTCTTCATATGGCACCCGTTTCAAACCCCTAATCATTTTTTGTTGCCCTTTTCTGAACTTTTTCCAATGCCAACATATCTTTTTTGGGATGAGGCAACCACATCTGTATTCAATATTCAAGATATGGGCACATCATTGGACCATAGTACGCATTGTGGGTGCACTATTTATATAGAGGCAATAAGATATTCTCTATCGTTTTTTAGTGATTCCTAACATTTGCTTTTTTTGACTGCCACTGCATACTGAGTGGATGTTTTCAGAGAACTATCCCATAATGACTTCAAGATCTCACTGTTGAGTACTTATAGCTAAATTAGTCCCTATCATTTTGTATGTGTAGTTGGGATTATTTTCCAATGTGCATTACTTTGCATTTATCAACGTTAAAATTCATTTGCCATTTTGTTGCCCAAACACCTAGTTTTATTAGATGCTTTTGAAGCTCTTCACAATATGCTTTGGTCTTAACTATCTTGAGCAGGTTAGTATCATCTGCAAATTTTGCCACCTCACTGTTTACCCCTTTCTCCAAATAATTTATAAATATGTTCAATAGGATTGGTCCCAGTAAGGACTCTTCGGGGATACCACTAGTTATCGCTTTCCATTCTTGAAAACTGACCATTTATTCCTACCCTTTGTTTCAAATCTTTTAATCTGTTATCAATCCATCCAGCCCAGTATCCTGTTTGCTGACAGTGGCCAATACCACATGCCCCAGAGGGAGAGAACACAACAGGTAAACCACACGTGATCCCTCCCCTGTCATCCACCTCCAGAGAAACAGGAGGTAGGGGACACCATTCCTACCCATCCTGGCTAATAGCCATTGATGGACCTAACCTTGATTCAAGGAGAGACCGCCCACACTTCGATTAAGCTGGATGGGCCCCTGGCTCATCTATCTAGCTTTTTTTTGAACCCTGTTAAAATCCTAGGCTTCACCACATTCTCCAGCAAGGAGTTCCACAGGTTGACTGTGCTGAATGAAGAAAAACTTCCTCTTGTTTGTTTTAAACCTGATGCATATTAATTTCATTTGGTGGCCCCTAGTTTTTATATTATGGGAACAAATAAATAACTTTTCCTTATTCACTTTCTCTATACTGCTCATGATTTTATATACCTCTATCATATCCCCCCTTAGTCTCTTTTCCAAGCTGAAAAGTCCTAGTCTCTTTAATCTCTCCTCATATGGGACTGTTCTAAACCCCTAATCATTTTAGTTGCCCTTCTCTGAACCTTTTCTAATGCCGTTATATCTTTTTTGAGATGAGGAGACCACATCTGTACGCAGTATTCAAGATGTGGGCGTACCATGGATTTATATAAGGGCAATAAGATATTCCCCATCTTATTCTCTCTCTCTCTCTCTTTTTTTTTTTTTTTTAATGATTCCTAATATCCTGTTTGCTTTTTTGACTGCCGCTGCACACTCCGTGGACATCTTTGGAAAACTATCCACGATGACTCCAAGATTTCTTTCCTGTTTAATTGTAGCTAAATTATCATATTGTGCATTACACGCAGTCCCTGGGTTACGTACAAGATAGGGACTGTAGGTTTGTTCTTAAGTTGAATTTGTATGTAAGTCGGAACTGGTACATATTGTAGGGGAAACTCTAGCCAAACATTTCTCCAGAGCTCAGTTTTATTCTCCCACACCTCACTTCCCTCAGTCCTTTATTCTCAAGCTGAGGTGTCTGCTGAGAAAAGCCACTCCGCGTCTCCCTGGTCTGCTGGGGGGGGTCGCTAGCTTCGCGTCTCCCTGGTCTGCTGGGAGGAAGCAGCTAGTGTGGGGTTGCCTCACCCCGTTTGTAAGTAGGGATCCGATGTAAGTCGGATCCATGTAACCCGGGGACTGCCTGTACTTTACATTTATCCATATTACATTTCATTTGCCATTTTGTTGCCCAATCACTTAGTTTTGTGAGATCTTTTTGAAGTTCTTCACGGTCTGCTTTGTTCTTAACTATCTTGAGCAGTTTATTGTCTGCAAACTTTACCTCTTCACTGTTTACCCCTTTCTCCAGATCATTTATGAATAAATTTAATAGGATTGGTCCTAGGACTGACCCTTGGGGAACATCACTAGTTACACCTCTCCATTCTGAAAATTTACTGTTTGTTCCTACCCTTTGTTTCCTGTCTTTTAACCAGTTCTCAGTCCATGAAAGAATCTTCCATTTTATCCCATGACATCTTTATTTACATAAGAGCCTGTGGTGAGGGACCTTGTCAGAGGCTTTCAGGAAATCTTAAGTACAGTGTATCTGCTGGATCCCCCTTGTCCTCATGTTTGCTGACCCCTTCAAAGAACTGTAATAGATTAGTATGACATGATTTCCCTTTACAGAAACCATGTTGACTTTTGCCCAACAAATTATGTTCTTCTACATGTCTGACAATTTTATTCTTTACTATTGTTTCAACTAATTAGCCTGGTACTTACGTTAGACTTACTGGTCTGTAATTGCCAGGATCGCCTCGAGAGCCCTTTTTAAATATCGGCATTACATTAGCTATCTTCCAGTTATCGAGTACAGAAACTGATTTAAAGAATAGGTTACAAACCATAGTTAATAGTTCCACAATTTCACATTTGAGTTATTTGAGAACGCTTGGGTGAATGCCATCTGGTCCTGGTGACTTGTTACTGTTAAATTTATCAATTAATTCCAAAACCTCCTCTAATGACACTTTACTCTGTGACAATTCCTCAGATTTGTCACCTACAAAGAATGACTCAGGTTTGGCAATCTCCCTAACATCCTCAGCTGTGAAGACTGAAGCAAAGTTTCTCCGCAATGACTTTATTGTCTTTAAATGCTCCTTTTGTATCTCAATCATCCAAGGGCCCCACTGGTTGTTTAGCAGACTTCCTGCTTCTGATGTTCTGAAAAAGCATTTTAATACCTTTTGAGTTTTTGGCTAGCTGTTTTTCAAACTCCTTTTTTGGCTTTTCTTATTACATTTTTACACTTAATTTGGCAGTGTTTATGCTCCTTTCTATTTTCCTCACTAGGATCTGACTTCCACTTCTTAAAAAGATGCCTTTTTATCTCTCACTGCTTCTTTTACATGCTTGTTAAGCCACGGTGGCTCTTTTTTAGGTCTTTTACCGTGTTTTTTTTAATTTGGGGTATACATTTAAGTTGGGCCTCTAGTATGGTGTCTTTGAAAAGTGTCCATGCGGCTTGCAGGGATTTTACTTTAGTTACTGTATCTTTTAATTTCTGTTTAACTAACCTCATTTTTGCATAGTTCACCTTTCTGAAATTAAATGTCACAGTGTTGGGCTGCTGAGGTGTTTTTCCCACCACAGGCATGTTAAATGTTATATTATGGTCACTGTTTACTCCAAGCAGTCCAGTTATATTTCTCCACTCAGGACTAAATCGAGAATTACCTCTCCCCTTGTGGGTTCCTGTACCAGCCACTCCAAGAAGCAGTCATTTGAGGTATCGAGAAATTTTGTCTCTGCATTTCGTCCTGAGGTGACATGTACCCAGTCAATATGGGGATAATTGAAATCCCCTACTATTATTGAGTTTTTTATTTTGATAGCCTCTCTAATCTCCCTTAGCATTTCATAGTGACTATCACTGTCCTGGTCAGGTGGTCGATAATATAGCCCTACTGTTATATTCTTATTCGTATTAGAGCATGCAATTGCTATCCGTACTGTTTCTGTGGAATATGTTGATATTCATTTAAGATTTTTACTTTGATTCTAAATTTTCTTTCATATATAGTGCCGTTCCCCCACTTGCACGACCTGTTCTGTCCTTCCAATATATTTTGTATCCTGGAATGATTGTGTCCCATTGATTGTCCTCATTCCACCAGTTTCTGTGATGCCTATTATATCAGTATCATTCTTTAACACAAGGCACTCTAGTTCACCCATCTTATTATTTAGATTTCTAGCGTTTGCGTACAAGCACTTGAAAAACTTGTCACTGTTTGTCTGCCCTTTTCTGATGCATCATATTCTTTTTTATGTTAATGTTTCTCATCTGATCTGGCCCATACTTTATCCTCTTCCATCCTCTCCTCCTGACTAAAACCTAGAGAATCTCTATCAATAGACTCTCCTCTAAGAGACGTCTCTGTCCGATCCACATGCTCCTCTGCACCCATCAGCTTTCCCCCATCTTATCCCATGACCTTCCCTCTTATCCCATGACAACTTACTTAGGAGCCTTTGGTGAGGGATCTCGTCAAAGTCTTTTTGGAAATCTAAGTACACTAAAGTCACTGGATCCCTCTTGTCCACGTGCTTGTTGACCCCTCAAGGAACTTCAGTAAATTAGTAAAGCATGATTTCCCTTTATAGAAACCGTGTTGAACTTTTCCCCAACAAATTATGTTCATCTATGGGTACATCTACACTGCAACACTATTTTGAAATAACTAGTGCAATTCCAAAATAACTTAGTCCACGTCTACACAACAGGCAGAAAGTGTCAAAATACTGTCAAGCTGGAGGACTACTTACTCCGACTCCTGTAACCCTCATTGTACAAGGAATAAGGGGAGTCAGAGGAAGAGTGCTCTATTTCAAAATAAGTGCTGTGTAGACACTCCCTATTTCAAAATAAGCTATTTCAAAATAAGATACGCAATTGATGTAGCTCAATTTGCATAGCTTATTCCGAGTTAAGCCCTGCTGCGTAGAAGCACCCTTAGTGTCTGAAGGGTGCTGGCATTAGACTTACCAGTTTGTAATTGCCAGGATCACCTCTAAAGCCCTTTTAAATAATGGTGTCACATTAGCTATTTTCCAGTCATTTGGTATAGAAGCTGATTTAAAGGATAGGTTACAAACCACAGTTGTTAGTTCTGCAATTTCACATTTGAGTTCTTTCAGAACTCTTGGGTAAATAACATCTGGTCCTGGTGACTTGTTACTGTTAAGTTTATCAGTTTGTTCTAAAACCTCCTCTAATGACATCTCAATCTGGGACAATTCTTCAGATTTGTCACCTAAAAAGAATGGCTCACGTTTGGAAATCTCCCTAACATCTTCAGCCGTGAAGACCAAAGCAAAGAATTTATTTAGTTTCTCTGCCATGACCTTATCATCTTTGAGTGCTCCTTTAGCATCTCAATCATCCAGTGGTCCCACTGTTTGTTTAGCAGTCGGTAGGATTTAACTTCCACTTTTTAAACTATGCCTTTTTATGTCTCACTGCAGCAGACCTTGAGTGTGGAATGTAATGAGTTCTGTGATCCTCCCAGCTTTGCCTAAAATAGTTAAATCCAAAGCTTACTGCAAAGAGTTACAAAAGGATCTCCTAAAACTGAGTGATTATGCAACACAATGGCAAATGGAATTCAGTGTTGATAATTGCAAAATAATGCACATGGTAAAATATAATGCCAACTATACATCCAGAAATGATGGGATCTATATAAGCTGTTACCTCTCAAGAAAGAGATCTTGACATCATTGTGGATAGTTCCTTGAAGACATCCGCTCAATGTGCAGTGCCAATCAAAAAGCTAACAGAATATTGAAAATCTTTAGAAAAGGAATAGATCAGACAGAAAATATTCATGTTGCCTCTATATAAATCCATGGTATGTCCGCATCTTGAATACTTCTTGCAGATCTGGTTGCTTCATGTAAAATATGTATAGGATTTGGAAAAGGTACAGAAAAGGTCAACAAAAATTATTAGTGTCAGAGGGGTATCTGTGTTAATCTGTAACTTTAAAAGCAACAAGTAGTCCTATAGAACTTTAGAGACTAACAAATATATATATGAGCTTTTGTGGGCAAAATTTATTTCTTCAGAGGAGATGAGCTTGAGAATGATTAGAGGTAAGGAATAACTTCCATATGAGGAGAAATTAAAAAGACTGGGACTTTTTAGCTTAGAAGAGAGTTGAGTAAAGGGAGGGTATATCAGAGGTCTATAAAATCATGAATGGTGTGGGAAAATTTGAATAAGGAAATGTTATTTGCTCCTTCACATAACACAAGAAGGTCAGCCAATGAAACGTATAGGCAGCAGATTTAAAAGAGCCTATTTCATCACCGACAACCTGTGGAATTCTGCCAGAAGATGTTGTGAAGGCCAAAACTATTGTAGAGTTCCAATAAGAACTAAGGTTCAAGGAGGATAGGTCCATCAATGGCTGTTAGCCAGGATGGGCAGCAATGGCGTCCCATCTGTTTTCTAGAAAATGGGAAGAGGTGATGGGATGGATCACTTGATGATTGCCTCTTCTGTTCGTTCCCTGAAGCACTTGGTATTGACCACTGTTGGAACTCAGGATACTGGGCTAGATGGGCTTACTAGGTCCAGCTCCCCTCCCAGAGCTGAAGTAGAACCCAAGAGTCCTTTCAAGTTGTCTCTCTCTCTCTCTCTCTCTGCAGTTAGCCTAAGCAGTTCCTCTTTAGTGAGTCACCACAAGATGTCAGAACATTAGTGTTAGAACTGAGTGGGTCTCATATTTAATTTCCTGTCTTTTATATAAGAATTAGATACAGTGCTCTACAGTCAGCTAATTGCTACATATTCTGCCAAAAAACTAGAGTTTTCAACTGAGTAGCTCCTGAAAAGAGGTGATGAGTGTGTGGAAGAGTGCGTACAGGGTCGACACACCAGTTTTGCTGTTTCACTTGTATTGAGCATTCATAATAACACTGCTGAAGCCACTCTCACTCTGCCCCTCCCCCCATGCCCTCACTTCACCTCCCCGCTCTCATGGCATGCACCAATCAACCCTTCCCATCAAAATCTGATATGGCATCCCTTTACAGTAGATAGACTAGAAACACAAATAATAGAGTTGTTTACTTTTTTCAAAGTAAATTTAAAGCTATTATAGTACCAGCATGTGTATATGTGAACAGAAACAACGATATTGATTAAAGAGTTAAGGCAACAGGCTAGGTAAACATGAGTAATTTCCATGGTAAACAGGTTATATTCATTTAAATAAAACGTTTTCTTTTGAGAATTAAAGAGTAATAAAAAGGATATATATGTAACCAAAATAACATATTAAAAAGATTTCTTATTTTTTTCTTAATATGTTTAGATTCTACAAACTCTGTTGTTTGGAATATGTTCCATAGTTGACTTTGCTCGTATGTTCATCCCTGCCAAAAAGAACAGTGTGTCTTCCAGACTGTTGTCTCTGAGAGACTTAATCTTCTCGATACTAGTATTCCCTGTTGGCTTAGTAAGTAGTTCTTAGTAGGATGTTAAATATCAGTTAATTGAATAGTTGAGTAACCACATGAATTCTTATCAGTTAGTTGACTACTCTATAGTACCCGGGGGCGGAGGCAGCAGTGTGGGGTGCCAGGTGGGAGCTCGTCCCCGAAGGGAGACAGTTTAAAAGCCAGCTCCTCTCATGGAACAACTGCCTGTTGCCCCGTGCTGCTGCTTCTGATACAGAGGCAGTAGCACGGAGTGGCAGCAGCCCCTGTCCAGGGAGAGGAGGGATTGGGAGGAGGGGGGAGGAGTCTTTGCTCCCAGACCCAGACTGAGCCGGGATGACTCCTAGCCTAGATCCTAATACACTTTACATGCAGAGCCTCAGCAGAGGTAGGTACCTGTCCCATTGCAAGGTAGGACTGAGCCAGGTTGCTGGCCAGCCTGCTAAAAAATGTACTGGGGGAGGGGGGAGAAACGCATGTATTATATAGCACTGACCTATAAGCTTTTGCTTATCAGTTAATCAATTACACTATTACATCTCGAGTTCCTACCAAAAGGCCCCCTCTAAAATAATTTCACAAAAGACAGAAGATAATAGTGTGTCCATATTAAACTGACAGAGATAAGTCATAGTATTTTATACACCATTTTTATTTAGTTTCAAACATAAATGGATAGTGACACAGATTTTTGGGGAAGCTGGTTCCTAGCCCCTCCCTTCTTCCCACTTCCCCTGCAGGAGCCCACAGCATCCCCACCACGGCCCCAGTGCTAGGTAGTCAGTCAGCATGGCCACAGTGCCCCAACCCAGGTGCCTCAGGCGATGTTGCTGCAACCCTCCCAGCCCTGGTGCCCTTAGTGACCAGATGGCATGGCAGCAGTATCTCCAGCCCCCATGCACCAGGCAGCCATCCCAGAGCTCTGGGTGGCACGACTGCAGTGCCTCCAGTCCTGGAGTATGGGGCAGCATAGTCTGAGCATAAGGCAGGTAATGCAGTGCCAGCCATCCCAAGTCCGTGCAGAAGTCAGGTCAGCCAGCTCCAGCCCCAGCCAGCCTGGTGAAGGCAGAGCACCAGGAAATGCAGGAACATGTCTTGGGGCAGAGCTTAATTGGAGATATCCCAGGCTGTTGGGGGGGCAGCCTCCCTCTACCTAAAATACTCTTTGCCCATGCTTTCAGACATAATAGGTCTAATGTGTTCCTCGCTCAGGTGACTTTTAATGTATATCTGGTAGGAAGGCATTTTGTCTAATGTATTACCAGCTGCTTTTTTTTTAAACGTGTGGACACAAAGAAAGTGAGAAATGAGATTTCTCTTGAGTTACCTGAAGAAAGATAGGCCCTAAGTTAAGTAATCCTCATGAATGGGGGTACTCATATGAACCACGAATATTTACATGAAAATGAGTGTGTGGTGTCAGATTCCTAGACTGATGCCTTGTCCACCTGAGACAGGTGTGCCAATGTAACTAAATTGGTTCAGTCTGCTTACACTGGATTAAAAGTGTCCACCTAAAAATACCTTATATTTAGTTTGTTAGCAAAGAATGAGCATAAGTTAAACCATAAATCAAAGCACTCATAAATCAAATTAAGTGTCCACACAAAGAATGAGCAGTGGGCTGTCCCGCTGCCCGCGTGCTCCGCGGCTTTGCTCAGCGCCTCCCTGGTCTGCTGGGGGGGGCTCCCACCCCCAGCAGACCAGGGAGACGCAGAGCAGCTTTTCTCACCCCGGAGGATGCAGGCAGCAGAACCGCGGCGCATCTGGGCATCCCGCCGCTCCCGTCCTCCGGGGCGAGAAAAACCCCGTTCGTAACTGCAGATCCGACAGAAGTCGGATCCGCGTAACTCAGGGACTGCCTGTACTAACCTGTCTTAATATCTACCATGTAAACACATTTTTAAAATCATCTTTCCCTCAATGTAATTATTTTGGTAAGGATTAACTCTGAATAGTTCTGTGCACAAACTAATACTGTAAAATCTCAGTTACAAATGGTTTATGAATGGAGGTTACTGGTAACTCTAAAATGTTTGTAACTGAACAAAATGTTATGGTTCTTTGAAAAGTTTACAGACGAATATTTACTTAATACAGTTTTTACTCCTGGAGGAATTTTGCACCCCTGTAGGAACACAGAATTTATACCTTCTGCTGAATTCTTGGCTCCCCTGCAGAAAAATGAGAAAGCAAAGAAATCTGTGGGGAAATCTGTGCCCCTTCCCTGGCAGACCTGGGAATGTGTGGTGGGAGCAGATGACAGGAGGGAGGCTGAGCGTGTGTGTGTCCATGGAAAAATATTCAGGGAGTGCATGGAGCTGGATGCATGCCTGCTTGGGAATAAGTGAGAGAGGTGCCTTATCTACACCTGCAAGTTTTATCACCAAACACCCTTTTCAATGACAAAACCCAAAGAGCATCCGTATAGCAACGTGACAGAAATTGCAACAAATGCCAAGTTTTGGCAACAAAAAACTTCCACCTCTGAATGAGACATTTGTTTCTCCCTCTCTCTTTATTGTCGACAGTAGGTTTTTTGGTCACCTCCAGCATGTTTCCCACAATGCCTGATTAGCCACTTGGTCCAGCACTTTGAACTCGGCTGCTTTGCAACCACATAAACAGGGTAAGCAGATACACCCCTTCCCCCCCCCCCGAAAACCCCAAAAATCCATGTGGTGAATGGTATCTGGCTCATGTTCTGGTCCTCATGGCATCTTCTCAAGGAAATGGGTGGGTATTGCTTAAAATGCTCTTCTGCTTGGAGCAATGCAGAGCTTTTGGATCTTACCAGTTTGTGGGATGCAGAATCAGCCCAGTAACACTGCACGTGACCCATAGGAACTGAGATGTATGGTTACGTTTTTCGATCCCTATGTGAGAAGGGTTATGAGTGCAATACTCTACAATGCAGAGTCAAGATAAAGGAACTCTGGAAGGCATACCAGGAGGTGCAGGAGGCAAACAGCTGGTCAAGGATCGAGAAATGTGACCATATCTGGCCCAGTTCCTATGGGTCCTCTGATTGCACTGATTCTTCACTGCAAAAAACAATTAAATCCCAAACCACTGCATTGCTTCAAGCAGGAGAGCATTTGGATCAATAGCCACCACTCCTGTTTCTTTGAAAAGACCCATGAAGACTACTACGCAATGTGCCACATACACAGGAAAAGAATTTAAAGTTTCTGGTGTTTGCAGGTGGAAGGGGAGCATCTGTTTACCTGTAACCATTACGTGGCTGAAGGGTAGCCACGTTCAAGGTGATGTCTAGAGTGGCTAAAAGGGACATGGTGGGATACATGCTGGAGTTCAATAAAATCAACAAAAAGCCTATTTTAGTACATACTGCATGATTGTCAACAGTCAGACACAAAAGTTCCTCACAGGGCTGGAAGCTTTTTGTCACCAAAAATAGCCTTCAAACATTCACATTAATGAAAGAAAAAATGATGCTTTCCCTTTTTTTTCCCTAGTAGTTTACGTTTAACATGGTACTCCACTGCATGTGTTTTGTTAGTGGGTTGATTTTTTTTGTTTGTGTTTTTGCAGGGGAGGGTTGGGATGGGTTTGGTTTGGTTTTGCTTTGTTTTGACTCTGCTCCTGCTTGATTGTAGGGATGTTAAATATTGATTAATTGACTAGTCAATTAACCTCATGAATTCTTATTCGTTACTCGACTATTCTATAGTCCCTGGGGGCAGGGCCAGCAGCCATTGTGCTCTGGCCCCACTCACAAGGAGCCTTCTGCTGCTCCGTGCTGCTGCCTCTGATATAGAGGCTGGGTGGCAGCAGCCCCTGTCCGGGGTGGGTCTGAGCTCCTGGACCCAGTGAGCGAGAACTGAGCCGGGCTGCCTGTCTCCTAATACATGTTAAATGCAGAGCTGCAGTGGGGGTAGGTCCGGACCTGACCCAAGCCAGGACTGAGCTGGGCTGCTGGTCAGCCTGCTAAAAAATTTGCTGGCGGAAGTTGGGGGGAATGCGTGTAGTGTATAGTATTAATATATAAGCTTTTGCTTATCGGTTAATTGACTATGCTATTACAGCCCTACTTGTTTGCATACTTCCAATTCCAAATAAGATGTGTAGTTGACTGGTCAGTTGGTAGCTCTTGTGATCCTAACTCAAGGTTAAACTATATTTAATTTTATTTACATCGAGTTTTTTTATCTCAGTTTGTAGCTGTTACTTTTTGGACTCTTTATGCATATGACAGAGAATTAGTGTATCCTAAAGAGCTGGATGAGATTAATCCTTCTTGGCTTAATCATACTATGGTAAGTAGATAGTGTTTCTAGAGTCTTGGGTTTAAAGTTTATTCACTTTATGGTATTTTCCTTATCTCATATGTATGATACATGCAAAGTTTGTTTGAACATAACAATTAGGCATGCAAATTTCTTACTTTCTGGTATTTCTTACTGTATCAAATGTAGATATCAGGGTCATGGCCTGTAGCTACCAGGGCATTCACTAAGCTGTAACTCCTTCCATCTCTAACACTGGTGGAGATGCACCAGTAGTTGTAACAATTGGGAAAAAGACATGTGTAGATTCAGCCGAGGGTCTCTGTGATGTAGAGTACAGGTACACTGTGGAGAGTAGGGAGAAAACAACAACCCTGTGCAACAACTTTCTAGGTTTCAGAGCCCAGTCTCCAACCTGAGCAGAAAGGTCTATGCTGCCATCTCTAGTGAGCCTATGTCAGTTGACCCAGGTTTAGAGACTCACTGCTATAGGGTGGTTGCATTGTTTTGAGGTTCTTTTGAAGAGGAGAATGAGGGGGGAGTTAGTTCCTCATACACAGCTGCCTCTTTCACTGAATATCACCTGTCCTGTGCACTGAATTAGGCAGGATGTGTGGATAAAACTGTCACATGCAGTGGTGAAAGTAACTTAAATTTCCTACAGGTATTGTCGTATAGCAAACCCACCCCCTCCACAGGGAGGGGAGTTGCTCAGGGCTGGAAGGTTTGGGGGCTTAGAGCAGGAGGTGGGTATGTGGGTGGGTGTTGGAGTCAGGGCAGTGGGGGATGCACAGGGCAGGGGTGGGGATGCAGGAGTCAAGGCAGGGGCTTTGGGGAATCTTAGGCCAGAAGATTGCGGGATGTGGGGGAAGCTTGGGGTTGTGAGTGTGGCCACCACAGTGCCCAGCCACCACATTCCCAGGACTGGCCAAGGTAGCAAGCACCATGCGGTCTGGCTGCTAGCTGGCTGAGGTGGTGGGTACAATGCAGGTTGGCTGGGATGCCAGGGACCGCACTGTCCAGCTACCTGAATACTAGGGCTGGCTGGGGCAATTGAGGCTGTGTTGCCCAGCTTCCAGATCTACAGGACTCGTTGGGGCAGCAGGGACTGTGCTGCCCAGCTGCTTGAGCACCAGACTGAAGCCCAAGTGGGCTGTGGCCACACAGCCTAGGGCCGTGGTCACCAACCAGTAGATCGCGATCTACCGGTAGATCTCAGGGGCTCTAAGAGTAGCTCTTGAGCCCTCTCTGAACTGCGCACCTGCGCAGTACATTTACATTAGATTTCCTCATGTAATGT